GAAACTATCTACGTATTCTAAAAATGCACTCACTAACAGGGAGAGACCATTTTTGACAAGGGATTCTTTAAACAGGAAGTCAGAGTTCCCTAAAAAGCACAGGATAGGAAGCTTTCTTAACAAATTCAAATACTTAGCTACAATCTTGTCTTCCTGGGTGATCAGGAACAAGGAGCTCTCGCCTCCGATACATTTCTTGGGGTCTTCTCTGTTGTCTCCGACCTGTTATCTCCCTTGACTCTGCTTCACCATACTCTTACATGGTATCTTTCTGGATTGTTAAATAACACTTAATCATTTATCCAGAACATAGTTAACTAAGACAAACCAAGGAAAACTTTATGATTGATTTGATCACTAAATCTGTACCCCCTACATCTTCAGTCAAACATCTCTTTGTTTTGAAGATAGAAATGATAACACTGTCCAGGCGTTACGCATTGTATCTAGATTCTTGTCACCTATAGCTGTAACAATATATAAGATGATATAAGAAGTGTCAGCTTGTAAAAAGCACCAAGAATACAGGAAAGTTCTGAGAAAAAGAGATGTCCTTTGTATAATGTTTCATAAGGACTATCATGCAAGAAAGCCTCGTGGAGAGGTCAATTGTAGTTAAAAGCACTGCATGCTGATCTTTATAAATAATCTCATGTTTCTCAATCTGGAACAACCTGAAACCTTATTCTGTTGGAACACAAGCAATCTAATGATTTCAAGGTGTGCTTGGTTACTGCAGCACATCTGTCAGCCACAGTCCAGAGCAAAATCCAGTTATGCTGTAAGTGTCACAAAAGAGAGTTTAAGAGGAAGAGAAGAGCTCTGAAAAAATTAAGAAGCCCCATACATCTCTTCTTTTTTCGAAATCTATTTAAGTATATGTCTGTAATTTTGCATGTTGCAGTAAGGAACAGATATCTGAGGTCTTATAGTTTTATGAGAACTAAATAAATGACTACAAATAAGAGGAGGCAATCTGGCCTATCGACCCTGTTTGCATGTTAGTAGCTAATTGTTCCAAGCATCTCATCTAACCATTTCATGAAAGAAACTTGATTATTGGCTTCAACAACATGGCTAGGTCGCTTTGTTCTAGATTTCCACATCTCTAAGACATTATTCATTATGGCATTGAAAAGAAACTGCATACACTAGTCCACCACTTATTTGTCAAAAATGTCTATCTACCTTAAAGAACACAGGAACCAGAAACACAAATATTGAGGGAGTATCATAGAGAGGGAGAAATCAGATGGAGAGAGCTGTGTTGAGGAAATAGGTGGAAAGATTTGTGACACTGGAAACAGGTTGTGAAATACAGTACGAACTACAAAGCTCCTTACACATTAAATAATGAAAAAGTTAAGATTCAACTGAATATCCCATCTCCTTTTATTATTAATATAAGAGCATCAGAATGTAAGACTTCTCTGCCATAATGACCAAATAGTGGCTCAAGGCAGTTTTAGGATTAATAGCATTCAATGTGAAATGCATAAATTATAAATGGAAAATTTATTTGGACGGTCTCAATTTGCACTCTGGCCTGGGACATATCTTCACATTTATCCTTGTTTTTCCTGGATGCTCTAGTTTTCTCCCATTTTCCAAAGACATTCTGGCATTCTGGCTCACCAGCGGCTCCGACCCTGCTTGTTTGACCACAGACCTGACCAACATTCCCCGCCTGCTACACTACCATCACTGCCTGCATGCACAGCTCTGCTGCTTCTCTGTGTCCCTATCTAGCTGCAGCACCACACTGTCTGAGTGATCAACTTCTCAATGTGTTCTGTGTCATTTCTCAATGTATGTTTTTCCCTCTCAGCCCAGTCTCTGTGTACATGCATTGCTGCTCAGCTTTCCTCTGAATGTGTTCTGCTGTCCTAAAATACTCTGCACCACCTAATGCAGATATAGATGTAAATTGCTCACAGGCGATGCAGATTTTCTCTTGGAACATGTTTTTATGGTAACTGGCATAGAAAGACAGGTGTCACGAACAGTTCTTTCCGGGCCCTATGCAGACGACACGATCCGGATTAGTGAGGAAACACGGGGGAGACAGTTATGCGGGAGACGGGTATGGGCACAGGGGGTATGTCCAAGGGGTGCATGTGTCCAGGGGGAGTGAGTCCGAGGCGAACAATCCATGAAGAAATCCAAACGGGTAATCCAAGACAGAAGGTAGAGTCCAAGGCCAGGGGATCCATCCAGAGAATAGAACCATGAACGGGGTCAGGACCAGCGGGACGGGGAATCAGGAACAGAAAGTTAAAACCATAACGGAG